TTAGATTAATAGGATGCGCAGGCTAGGATAATTAACAACCTAGCAAATAGCTATGTTCTAGCTACTTTTCTTAAACAGGTGTCTATCCTTTGCGAAAAATGTTAGGGCATTTTTCTGCTAGGCTTGCGCCTTTTTAAAGTCTATTCTTCTTAAGGTGCAAAGGGTTGTTAGATATTATATAATTTATTTTAATTCCTTTAAGTACTAATTATTAAAGTACTGCCTAGCAGCTTTAGTTTGTTTACCTGCAGCAGCTAGAAAAGCTTTATTAATTTCTACAGTAACATGTTTAGACAGGGTGTAGTTAAGGAAGGCTTCTAAGTTATTATCTAGTTCTATAGGTGGTTTAAAATTGTTGTCTTGTAGCATCTAGGACAGCGTGTTAGAAATTACATTTTTCTTCCCTTTAACATAACAGATGTTAAAATCCCACATTATAATTGCTGCTAACTATCTATTTATTAGCAACTTAAAGGTCTTTAATAATATTTAATTTAGCTGCGCAATAAGCGTTTGCGCGTTTGTCTCTACTATAAAGTAAACTTTATATAAGTAGTAGCAGCATTTCTTAAGGGCCTAAAGCAATGCGCAGCATTCTAGCTTAGTAGAATGCTATTTCTATTTGTCTACTAACTATAAGCAGCTTTTATATTGCACAAAATGCTTAAAGCTATTCTGTTTAACTTGCTCTAGCAAACAACTAGCTCTATTACTACTTCTATCTGTCTCTAGAATAATTTCTCTATAGCCCTCTAAGTAATTAAGAGTAACTAGTGCTAGCGCAGTTGTTATTACTGTCTTAAGTTTATCTATTACTTCTTAGTGCTTAGGTGTTTAGGCAAACTTAATATCTTTTCTTATTAGCTAGAATAATAGCTTTGCAACTAGTGCAAAGCAGAAGATCTAAATGTAATAATATACTATAATGCCTACAAACATATAGACTTTCTTTAGGTTTTAGAGGGCTAGCTAGTTAACTATCTTCTTAATCTTCTTAAGTTGCAGATGTCTCTCTTCTGCATTTACTTTATATCCTACTACTTTTATACAATTCTAGCTAAAGTAGCATTTCTTCTCTAACACTGCTAAGCCTGCTTACTTAATGTTTATAAGCACTTAGTTTACTTGCTGTGCATATTTAAGCACAAACTATTAAATGCTAAAAAAGGCTTTTTTTTCTTTGTAGTTGTCTTTTAATCTTCTGCAACATATATTGTTAATAAATAGTTAGTAGTTGTAAGAATATTTCTTAGATAGTATAAAGAAAATTACTTAAAGAAACGCAGCTAGCGCATTTGTTGCTCCTATAGGCAGAGTGCAACATCTTAACAATCTAAGCATAGTTTAGAACGCTGTTATATCTTAGCTTTCTTTTGCTAACAGTATTTAATTATATTCTAAAAAAAAGTTTATAAGAGTAAGGATCTTGCATCCTGCGTAGTATTTAGAAAAGTTGTTAGCATATAGAGGCAAGGCAGCGTTTTAAATAGTTACTGCGTTGTATTTAATTGCATTTATAATAAGACAATGCCCTCTATTCTTTTTTATAACTAAAAACTAAAAGTTGCAATACTAGCTATTGCACTGTTTTAAAACTAGCTTATTAATTTTTTCTTTTAGCATCTTTAGGACTTCCTACTTAGCAGACTTTAGCAGTTTAAATAAATTTGCCTGCTATGTAGTGTGTAGTTTAGTATAGATTTTATAAGGCAGAGATACTTTTAGGTGTATTCTGCCTAATTTTCTAAAAGTAAAAGCAATTGCTGCTTCTTAATTAAGTAGCATCTGCTTAAACATGTCTACCTCCTATAGTAATAACTAATTTTTAAAGTAAATAGATTTTATCTTCTTAGAATTAAGGCGTTGCCCTTAGGGGAACAACGCATACTAGCTCTTAAATAAATAGTCTATAAGCTTAATGTCTAGTCCTTGTAGACTCTTGCAGAGCATCTGTTGTTTTATAGCAGCTGCCTGCTATTAAGAGTTTCCTAGTTCCTGTTCTGTGCTAACCCTAGGCTTGTCTACAAGCTAAATCTTGTTAGCAACTTTCTTATGCATTGTTGCCACTTTAAATTCTTTAGTTATTCTGTTTAGCTTCTAAAAGTGCGTCTTTCTAATAGCCTGTTGCTAATTTTGCTAGACAAGCTCTTATAGTTTTATAAGTTCTAGCTTTATAGCGTTTATTTGCTCCTCCTCTTATAACAAATATTCTTAGACGGCAGCAAATGCTTTCTTACTTTTTATTAAGTTAGTAAAGTAAGACATCTACTGCTTAGCTTCTCTAATCTTAGCAGCTTTATTTATAATCTGCTAAAGTTCCTTGCGCGTTATCTTTACATCTTGCCTACTACTCTTCTTTAGTTTTTTTATGTTGCTTCTGCTCTATAGTCCCTAGCTTAAGGAAAGACACGCAACCTCTAGCGCTGCTGCCTTCTTCTCCTTCCTTCTGCTATACGCAGAGCTAGTGCGCTTAGCAGAAGTCTTATTATTGTTATTTATTATACTTTTCTGTTCTCTAGTTAAGCAGGGAGTCTTTGTAGTCTCTCTTGTTTTAAGTAGGAGGGTTAGCTGCTAGAAACATAGCATTTTGTTTTCTAGTTAAAGCTAGAATTTAGCACGTTACTCTTCTAAGTGCAGTATATTATAGAGCTAATTAGACTAACGCGCACTAGGGCGCCCCTAGTATAACTAATTAAAAACAATATATTATAACTTAAAATGTTGTTAGCATAGTAACTGCTTCTATTTAGACTAGGACATGCTATGCAGTGCTAATAAAGGCTTTTATTACCTCTGTTGCTCCCTGCATCTGCCTAATAGTTTTATTTATGTTTTTTTTAATAGTAATTTGCAGCGCTCGTGCAGCGCTTAGTCTTATTAAATTAATTTATAAACCTGTATTAATAAGGCATTTAGCAGAATGTCTTCTAATATTAGCTTATGTAATTAGTAATTCTCTAGCGACTCGCACTACTCTATCTATTTAATATTATTAGTTTACTACTTTTTTAGAGATGTAGTCTAGAGGTTTTTAATAGGTATCTTTTTCTCTGCCTACATAATAGCGCATCTCTGCATTTACTTAAACTTCTACATTATTTACCTTGTATCTATCCTATCTACTATATTGCTTTTAGTAGTTGGCCCTACTAGTAGAGTAGTCTTAACTAATTAAATTTAGTTAGTTGTGCCTAACTATTTTTAATTAGTCTTAAATTTAGCTAGCGCGCAGCGCTAGCGTTGTTTTGTTAGAGTCTAGTTTTAACTTATTCTAAACACAATTCTAATGTTGCAGCGTCTTAACATGCGACGTTTCTACTATTAGAGTAGGTAAGGACTTAGGGGTTTTCTTTTTCTTCTGCTGTTTTAACTCTTTTAGCAAAAAGCTTAAAATAGTAGAATAATCTAGCAAGTCTTATAAATAGAGCCCTTTAATTTCTTGCCCTAGAATCTAAGATAGGGCAGGATCTCCTTCTTCCTCCTCTTTAAGTTCTTTCCTAGGTTTAGTTGCTTAAGGGGGCTTAACTACTGCATATAGGTTATTGTAAAGCTGCGCTTTATATAAAATTAACAGTTTATTTAATTTATTCTAGTTATCTATAATAAGGTCTCTAGGCAGTTAGCTATTGCAGATCTGCTTCTGTACCTGCTTGTACGTTTAGTTTTAAGCAGAAACTCTAGTCTTCTTTACTTAGGCGTCGCGCACCTAATTAAGCAACTCCTTAGTTAAGTTTCTTTAGTTTTAAAATTAGGTAGCCGCGTTGCTCTTAGTAATGTCTAGGTTAAAAATAATATGTCTCTTATTAATCTTATCTAGTAGAAACACTTTATTGTTGTTATCTATTATTGCAACTCTGCAGTTAAACATTACTTGCTTTTAATTAGTAAAGAGTTTGTTTTTTTAAAATACTTTTTTTATAATAATATTTGCTTTTGCAGCCTTAGCTATATTAGGATAAACTTCTAGCATAAGTTAAGCAAGCAATTTTATAGTAACCTAGTATTAATTCGCGCAGCACTGTTGTAGCTATGTTAGAATTTCTTGCTAAGGTAGTCTTCTGTCTAAGCCTACTAGCCTTAAGCTCCTGTTTACACTTCTAAACTTTTATTTCTACTCTTTATCTCTTTAATTCTTAAACTTGCTAACCTAGCCGCGGTTTTGCAGGTCCTAAAGGTAATTACAACTAGACACTTTATGTCTCTTTTTTCTGTAGCCTTAGCATTTTAAGGTAGACTTTTGTTTTTAAGAATCTTTGTCTTTTTTTAGCTAGTCTATAGCGCAGGCTTAATACGTAGCTATAGGTAAGTTGCCTAACCTAGGCCTTGCAGCAGTAACAGCTACAATAAATTGTGCTATGTTAGTTAGGTGCTTAAAACATTTACACTAAATTTATTTTTAGCTTGCAACTATTACTGCGTCTGCTATACTTAAGGTTATTCTTTTAAACTTTAATATTAGGTTGTTAACTAAATCTGTTTTGTTAGTAGATTTAGTAGCAGTTTTATGTTGTTCTTGTGCTGCAGTAGGCTAAGTTGCTTTTACTAATAGCTTTGCCTTTTGCTTAGCTATGTACTAAGCCTTACGCTAAAGAGAAGAACTAGTTTTATCTTTTAAATAGCAGAGCTCCTTCTCTACTTATACTTATCTCTTAAGAAAAGCGTATATCTTATTTAGATTGTATAGCGATGTGCTGTTGTTAGTAGTTTGTTCTAACTTAGGCATATTAAACATTACCTAGTGTTGGTGCTCTAGCTTAAGGCCCTTTATAAACTATTGCCCTTAGAAGTTTATAGTAATTTGCTGTAGAGGTGCGAAAGCGGCATCATAGTGAACTGATATTATTGCTTGTACATACACGATAATAGCATATAGAACTAGGCTAGGTGAAGTGGATGAACAGCATATAAAGAATCTCAGGTCACGTGACTCAGGTCACGTGACTGGAATAATCCATCACATCACCCCCCCCAAACGGAGGCGCAAGTTCCAACGCGTCTCAAGTGAGAGAAAGAGAAGAAACTAGGTACATGCCTGGGATTGACTGCAGTGCAGTGTCGCCATAAATATCCCGCTTTGTCATTGTCCAAGAGTGCCCTAACCTGACCTTCAACTGTCGTTTTATTCCTATCGGTCGCGTCGTCGGTCGAGTCGTCGGTCGCACATTTGTCGCGTAATCGTTTGCGGGAGGCGTAGGCTGGAGCTCGCGTGAATATTTCCAGTGGCTTGATAATTGTCGGATCGCAATCTGCAATGAACATCGTTGCTGGATGGGTGGCGGACAGGGAGGAGGGTGTCGGCGTCTATCACGGTTAGCAGTAGTCCTCTGCACACATCGGCTAGTAAGCATCTGTTCTCATCTCCTGCAGTCGGTGCAGGTTCAATAGGTTCCATGTCTCCCCTATGTCGCCTGGACCCGTCAGTGTAAGTCAGGCTGTTTGCGTCGTGTGCAGAGGGCTGTTGCTAATCCTTGGTGGACGTCTCAACCCAAATCTCGGTCGCTCCTGGCAAGTCATTCCAGTCTGACGCGGGGCCGGATTTCCTTTTGTACCGACTGTGGAACCTGCCTAGTAATTCTTCAGATCCTACCAGGTGTTTGTATGGTTCCCAGGTGGGATCATTGGGGTAGCCTTGCCATAACACCTTGTAATGGAGCTGGCCCGCGCGGTCCATGCGTGAGTCAAGGATGGCGGCGACTTCATAGACTGGGGAGTCTGCGCCCTGATCGTTCATGCGCACTGGTCCTGGTCCGTCTTGTTGTTGATTGGGGAGGCCATCTGTATGTAAGTGCAGCAGCCATGGGTGGAACACTGGATGCATCTTCATCTCGGGGGGAAGCTGGAGCTCATATGCGGCGTTGTTGTGCACCTTGGTGATCTCAAACGGTCCAACGTTCTTGTACGACAAACCTTGGCTGGGTCTGTCCGTCCTCATGTTACGTGCATCGACCCAGACTTGGTCTCCCACACGGAATTCAGGCGCAGGCAATCTCTTTTGGTCCGCGTACTCCTTTTGTCTTTGTTGGGCCCAAGACAGGTTCTCGTGCAAATATTTCTTGAGTTCCGTAATTCGGTCGATCAGCCGATCAGCGGACTTCATCTCTCGTTTAGTAGGGTAAGAACTGGTGTTGTCTATTGGCGTAGGTGGTTCAAACCCTGTTTTCGGCAGATAGCCTTTTGTCGCGAGAAAGGGTGGTAGCTTGGTGGACGCACTCTCCGTCATATTGGCCTCGAATTCCGCGGTCGCCAGTAAGTCTACCCAGTTGTCTTGGTCGTACGCGCAGAATGCTCGCAGGTATTGTTTCAGGTAGCCATTTGCGTTCTCCGTCTGTCCATCAGTTTCTGGGTGGAAAGCGGTGGACAACTTGGGTGTTGTGCCCAGCCTTTGACACAATCGTTTCCAGAAGTGTGACGTAAACTGCGAGCCTCGGTCGCTGATGACCTCGTCCGGGTATCCTTCTTGTCTCCAGATATAATCGATAAATGCCTGTACCACATCTTCAACATCGATGGATGTCAACGGCACGAAGCGCTTGGTTTTAGATAAACGATCAACAACAACCATGATGTGTTTGTACGTCGCACCATGGCGGTGGCACTCTGGAAGAGGGGTGATAAAGTCCACGGAGATGCTTGACCAGTAGCGGTCCGGAATGGCAAGTGGATGGAGGAGTCCATGTTTGCCGTCTCGGAAGGCCTTTGAACGTTTGCACGTCTGGCATCCTTTTACAAACTGTGAAACTGAACTTGTTATGTTGGGCCAGTAATAGTGGAGGAACACCTTGTGGAATGTCCCGTGTTTCCCTGCGTGTCCTCCCGGTAGCGATGCATGTACGTGATGTAAGAGCTTCGTACGGACATCGCGCGCATCGGGCACATATAACCTGTGCTTGACGTACAGCATCCCATCTTGTAGTGTGCAGTCCTTAAGTTCGATACGGATGCCTTCCCTATGGATCAAGTGCCAAGGTATCCGTCGATCTCCACGTCTTTTCGCATCCATTATGGACTGTACAATCTCATCCTCGTTGTATGCCAACTTGATTTCCTTGTGTATATCCATCTCGTTTGAGTCCTGCTGCGGTCCGGCTGCCGTTTGCACGGGTCCGGCCTCATCATCGTCCAATGATTCACTGTATCTCCTCATGGACTCCGTGGCAGCGGCTAACACGTCCGTTGCGAGTACGGCAGTAACTGCGGTATGCGCACCTTCATTGCCATGAGATTCACTGTGTCTCCTCTCAGGCTCAGGTCGGGGTGTCGGCGAGGTCTCGCTGAGATGATATACTAGGGATGCAAGTTGGGTAACCGGTGCTGCATATTCGTTGTTGATTATCTTTGCGTAATGCAATGCAGGATGCGATCCACCGTCAAGATGGTTGTGTAGGGTGTGAGTGACGGTGTGGTCGACGACTTGGTGAGGTTTCAACAGTGACTGCACCTGGTGTTTGTTTCGTTCATCGTTGTCTCCGGGTAGGTCTCCTGGGCGCCTGGTGAGAGAGTCCGGTTTTGAGCCAAGCCGTCCTGGGCGATATGTGATTTTGAAATTAAATTCTGCCAGAAACAACGACCATCGTGCTTGGCGTCTGTTGAGCTTCTTATCTGTCATGAAGTACTGCAAGGCTTGATGATCACTGAGCACTTGAACCGGGTCCTCTGTTCCCACCAGCTCTGGCCGCCACTCTTCAAAGGCACGAACGATGGCGAGCAACTCTTTGTCATAAATCTCATAGTTGCATTCAGCAGGTGTCATTTTCTGAGAGAGGAATGCGACTGGGCGGAGTCCGTCTTCGTGCATCTGTGAGAGTACTGCTGCGATGACATAATCGGACGCATCAGTTTCCACCCAACATGGTAAGTCTGGGTCGAAATGCGCGAGTACTGGAGCCTCAGTGAAGCGCTTCTTCAGCTCTTCGAATGCGATAATAGCGGGGCTATCCTGCGGCAAGGGAAACTGGGTGACTTTGTTGCCGTTTTTAATGATCTCGATTAAGGGTCGCACGATGTGGGAGAAGCCCGTTATGAATCGGCGATAGAAGTTGGCGAACCCGATGAACGACTGAATGTCGCGTACGCATCGCGGCTGTTCCCATTCGAGGATTGCGCTGACCTTGGCAGGGTCCATGCTAATGCCATCCGTGGAGATTATCATGCCGAGGTATTTGACCTTTTTAACGCTGAACTGGCACTTGTCTATGTCAAGGAACAAGTTGGCTTTTCCCAGCCGCGAGAGAACAATGTCCACGTGTCTGTCATGGTCTTCCTCGTTCTCACTGTATATCAGGATGTCGTCGATATAGGCAGTGCAGAAATCGTCCAAGATGTCGTGCAAGATATCGTTGATGTAACGTTGGAAGGTAGCGGGGGCATTGCATAGTCCAAAAGGCATGACAACATACTCGAAGAGTCCGAAACGGGTCAGGAACGCTGTTTTGTATTCGTCGCCTTCCCTGATACGGATCGTATTGAAAGCGTGGATGATATCGAGGATGGTCATGAATTGAGTTTTCGCGAGACGGGCCATGGTGTCTTTGATGACGGGCGGGGCATTGCGATCTTTCACTGTCTTGGCGTTGAGCTCCCGGTAATCCACACAGACGCGCAGTCCACCACCAGGTTTCTTGACGACTAGTAGTGGAGCTGCGTAGGGTGATGAACTGGGGCGTATGAAGCCTTTCCCCAACATTTCGTCCACGTAAGCTTTGACTACCTGCATCTCCATCCGGCTCAGGCCATAAACGCGACGTTTAGGCGGGCCCGTGCCATCGAGTTCGATGGAGTGATCGACGCCGGGTCGTCGTTTGGGCAATATCTGTGCGTCTTTGGGGTTGAACACCTGAATGTGCTTATGCAGTCGTTCTGGCAAACGCTTTCTGATCTCGGCGAGCGAGCGCGGTTCTTGGTGTAATTTTTTGAAAAACTTATCGAAGTCCTCATCGGTCATTGCGGCCGGGTTGGCTGCGAATAGTCTCTCTACCAAGAGTTCCTGGTCGGCGTGGGATAGGAACCCGGGGGGAGGCTCGGGGTCCGGCGAAATTGTAACTCCGGGCTCGCTTGGTTCTCTCTTAATGTCAGCACCCACAACAGGAATTTCACGGTCGAATTCGTGTGGAAAAACCCAAACGACGCTGTCTGGGTCACTGCGCGCAGCTCGTAAGGCGACGTACGCGCTGACTAGTCGAACGTGACCCTCATTGTCAACGTCTGGTGTGGTTGGTCCTTTAGCTGAGATTGTTTCGGGACGTCCACCACGTAGGCACGTCATGGTGCAGTGACCGGAACTAAACGTCATGGAGAAGGGATTGAAGTTTAGCGTAGGATCGTGGGTTTGTAGCCAGTTGAGCCCCACGATAACTTGATAACTAGGGCAGTCCGTGACAAAGCACATCAAATTGCTGTTGTGACGGCCGTGAGACAACTTGACTTCTGCCATATGGGTGATTATCGTATCCCTGTTGCCATTGGCCAACTCCAGAAACACGGTTTTGGCCAGTGGAACAGTGGTGAGACGGTGTTGCCGGACAAAGTTGCGGTCCACAAACTCATAAGTGGCACCGGTGTCAACGAGGTTGCTAACGGGAATATCTCGTTGTGGGGTCTTGACTTTGCCCTTGAACGTAAACTGCTTGCCATCCTCAATACTCTCCTGAACTGCTGCTGAAAATTTGACTGTCAGTGGCTGTTCCTCTCGATGGTGATTGAGGATGGCGGACGCGAGGCGAGCGTTCAGCTTGTGAAACGGCTGGGCGTCGCTATCGCGCACAAGTTGCTCCTGGTGGCGTCTTATACCAGGAGCGACTCGTTTTCCGAATCATCCGTGTGGTACTCTGAGTCCTCGTCCTCTTCGTACACCGGGTCAAGAGGAGTCTGAGTAATGCTGGCGGACTTCAGGAACGCAATCTGGGTAGCGGGTGTAACCGGGAGCTTTGCACAGGGGGCGTTGGCATCGTTAGGTTTATGCGATGTAGAGCCACACTTGGCGCAGGCTTTGTTCTGTTTGAGTTTCCTCCATTGTTCAGGCGTGCGATGGTATTGATTCATAAGGTCAAGTTCCCATTGGCGGAAGTCCGTGCGCTGGCGATCTGATCGCTCCGGTGTTGTCGAACTTGCTGTACGCTGATTGCTGGGTGGCGTCTGCATTTGGGTGTGGGCGGGCGAAGTGAGTGGGAGGCTGGAGTTGCTGCTGCGTGCTGCTCGCTCTCGTCGACGATCCCGGGACTCAAAAGGTGATTGTTTCGCCTGTTTGAACGTCTGTGCGATGGATGACTCGGCTTCGATCTTAAGGATATGGGCGTTCATTTCCCGGCATGAACGGAAATCATGTCCGAGCCAGGCTATCCTGTCGAGAAGGTCACTCCGCATGAGGCGCTTGAAATGGTTCATGAGGGTTGCATCGTCAATGCGAGCTTGGCGGGCAATGGCGTTCAAACGGCTCATGAAGTCGGAGTAAGGTTCTTTGTATCCTTGATGCATAGACGGCTGCCAGAGCTGAACATCAGCCTCGCGGGCTTTGTCCTTGCTGTTGTAGAGCATGTTAAGATCTTGCCACAACTCATCTGCTGTCAAGTACCGTTCAGGGTGGCGGCTATCAGGATCCGCTCGATCGACGATGTTATCAAACGCGTCATTCGTACACAGGTCACGGATGAAGTCAATCTTTTGACGTTCGCTGAAATGTGTCGCTGCGCGAAGAGCGGTTTTGACAGCCATCTGCCAGGGCTCGAATTTATCGTTGCGGCCGCTGAACTTGTCAATCTTGCGTTTATATGGATCTTCACCGATGGGGCGCATGCCATGCTCGGTGGAGTCTCGACCTGCCAGATGCGGATATAAAGGTATAACTCCACGCTGGGCATCGTAGGTGTATCCTGGTGGGACTCCATGATCAGAGGGAGGTGCGCGCACGCGATCCGCCGCAGCTTCGCTTGTGTGGCGTGTTCGTCGCTCGCGTCGGGAGGGAGGCGGAGGGTCCCGCCGAACATCTTCCTCGGACTCTGATGTTCGGCTGGAGGAAGAGGATGTCGAGTCTGAGCGTGTAGATGCGCTGCGCTGCCCTACTGATCGTCGGGCGTGGGTACGCGCACGGCTCGGGGCTCGGCCGGAGGTGTGTCGGTCAAACGACTCAGGATCGGGGAAGAAGACAGGATCCGCTGTAGTGTTGCGACCAGCGATGTCTTTCCATTCATCGATAGCCCTAGACAAGTGGCGTTTGTCACGGTTTAGCCGCTCAACCTCTTGCTGGAGTTTCTCCTTGTCCTGCTTGTAGTTTTCGATTCGATTGGACCTCCGGACGCATTTGTTCTCGAGTTTCCGCATCTTCTTAGATGCGACATGAAGCTCGCTCTCATAGCTAACATTTTTCATGGAAGCTTCCTGAACCTTTTTCTTGAGGATGTCAACATCTTCCCACACATCGTTCCGCAAGTTGCGGGCGAGGTCTCGCTCCACGACCAGGTGGTCGGCTCGCTTCTTCTCATAAAGGTAATGTTCCTCCAGTGTCTTATACTCGGTTTCGAAGGAGTCGATGTCCTTGTCAAGAAGTTGCGACGTATTGAAGTGTTTGGAGATGACGTCCAACCATAACTGCGGATCTTCTGAGACAGCGGCCAATAGCTGGTCCGACGATGTGAGCGTGATTGAGGTGGTCGGGGACAAAGCTATCGTGACCTCGTCATTGGGGTTGGTAATTGCGAATGACCTGCGAGGTCGCGAGTCGCCGATCGCGGGTGGTGGGAGCTTAGGATATTGTACTTTCTCCGCAAACTGGTCCGATTCCTCAGGGCGCCCGTCGCTCTCGTCATCGTCGGTGTCGCTCTCGCTGACGGAAGAGGTCTCGCGCTGGCTATGGCGGAGGCGCGTATGCGGGGAGTACTCAAGGTTACGCGCGCTCGGCTGAAGGCTGTTTCGCGGGCGGGTATCAAACTCAATGCTGCTCAACTCAGGAATGCCCCGCTTGCTGTGACCCTGTGTGCGAGGAGTCTCGAACTCATCATTGTCGGGCTCAGAGTCTTGGAAGGCACCTGGGGGTTTGAGGATGGAGGTGACTCGGAACTTGTCTTTGGCGGCATCGGTATCGGTCCCGAAACGCTGCCCACGCTTTGCTATTTTGATGGCCTCTGTATCGGAGTCGTGACCGGGTAGGCCTTTGGCAATTGTGTTTTGAGGCTTCCCTGGCCTGCCTGGTCCTCTCCCAAGCCCGAATGTCGGCTGCGCAACTGGTGCGTCGGTGGGTTCAGGTCGGCTGGCTTGCGAAGTAGCTGGGATGGTCTGACTTTGCGAAGGAGGGATGTCCGCAGCGGGCGCGGCTGGGGTTGGAATGGTCTCAGGACCCTGGGATTGTGAGGCGGAGGGCGCGGAATTCTTCGAGGTGTCGACGTTCTTACGGGCCTTCCTTCCACGGGTGGACGGGGCAGACATCTTGGATGGGTGTTCTGACAAGATGTCGTTGGGTGGTATAAGGGAAAGTTATCCAGGCGACGGGAATGTGATATGTGCGCGGTGAGACAGGCTAGCATCGCTAAAAGTGTTTTGACGAGCCTCTGTGTAACGGGTGTGTTTCTGCAAACGGGGGTTGTTTGTTTGTTCTTTCGTGTAACTGATGGCGGTGAAAACGGTGGCTGAGTTGTTGTTTGTTTGAATCCTGTGGAACCTCGAAATTGACGAGTGTGGCCGTGCGCGCACACAACGGAGGTGGCAAAAATTATGATATGTCCTAAGGTGAAGTTGAGGTGTAATAGTATAGCTTCTGGATCGATGGGCGCAGTATCGCAATCGCATCCAGGGAGGATTGATAGGCGCAGTTCGCAATCACATCCATAGGAGACAGAACTAGCAAATGAACGTCTGATTGTCTGTTGCCTTTGTTCGTCGATTGTCAGTTGGCCATCTAGTGTCGACATCGTCACAACGCGATGCGCCAGTCTGAACTTTGGAGCGGTTCACCCACACTGGCCCGCGCACGCGCAGGCCCCTCTGGGCGAGAGAGGGATGCTATTATTATGTAGAGGTGCGAAAGCGGCATCATAGTGAACTGATATTATTGCTTGTACATACACGATAATAGCATATAGAACTAGGCTAGGTGAAGTGGATGAACAGCATATAAAGAATCTCAGGTCACGTGACTCAGGTCACGTGACTGGAATAATCCATCACATTTGCCCTTTATTAATGCATGCATTTAAATAAATGTAAAACTAAGTGTAGTAAAGTTTAAATAACAACTTGCTATAAGAGCTTTCCTCTACAAACGCACGCAGAAACGCCTTAGTCTCTATTTACTGCTCTAAGTTTAAGTCTTCTTAGTGCTCCTTTATTACCTTCTGCAGATTCTTTTATAACCTACTCTTAAACGCAGGGAGTTGCTTAATTAGCAGCTCTAGCTCTTAGTTACACTACTTAGGAAGCGTACGCAGCTTTGCTAAGTTAGTATACCTAGCATTATTGCAGATCTAATTATAATTATCTAAAAATGCAGTTACATTTTCTCTAGAAAAGAACAGTTCCTTCCCTTAGGGCAATTACAATTAAGGAAAGCTCCTTTAGTGCTCTTCCTTCTTAAGATAGTCCTCTGCGCGGTGCGCGTTAGACTAGTGTTAGTATTAGGTAGACATAATACTTAGTAGTTAATAGTTGTCTTTGTCTAACACTATGTTAGGGTTGTTGTTAAATAGCAAGTTTTAAAGGAACTCGTTTAAACTATTGCCTCTTTTAGTAGTTATCTATTGTGTTGTAGTTAAGGATAGCAAGGACAGGGGTCCTACTCTTATTACTAAAATCTATACTGTGCTATAGCTCTTTTCTAACTTGTAAGCTATTAACAGGTTTAATTACTTACTTACTTTAAATACCCTCTAAGAACTGTCTCCTTACAGGTCTGTAGCAATAAATAGGCTAAGCAAGCTAATAACTCTTATTACTGTACTACGCAGATAGAAAGCAAAGACTATAACTAGTGTTATAATAGATCTTAAACGTAGGATAGTTTTTTTACACTGTGTATATTTAACATCTTTTTATGTTAGGTGCTTCTCCTTTTTATATACTACATAAGAAGCAGCTATCTTAGGTTGCCCTGTACTCCTGTTGCTTTAGCTTATTAAACTAAGACTAGAGAGAGCTCTTCCTTTGTCTTAATACCTAGCTTCTTCCTTGTACATAGGAAAAGCAATAGCAATAGCTAGGTAGGTGCCTGTAGGCACGTACAACTATTAATTAGTACACTTAAATAATTAGTTTATTTAATAGCAACTAAGTGCCTGCAGAGTAATAAAGGAAAATTTTGTAATAAGTGTCCTGCTACGGCACAGTAATACCTAGTTAAATAGCTATAAAAACTAATTATTAAAATTTATTTATTTTTTAAATTAAATAAAATTACTATTAAGATAAAGTTAATAGTAAAGTAAAACTAACTTATTTTATAATAGTTTAAACTTAGTTTAAATTATTTATTTATATAATTACGTAAATAGTATAATTTTTATACTAAGCTAAACTAAGTATTTTTTTTATAGTTTTATAATACTTTCTAAAAATCTAAACTAATAGTTTTTTATAATTAAGTATAGTTTTTTATAAAGTTAGTATATTTTTTAAGTAATTTACTTTAAAAGTAAACTATTTATACTTTACTATACTTTATATAACGTAGTTTACAAGCAAGTAGCTAACCTAAGCAAGTAGCTAACGCTAAACCTGCGCACTACCTGCGCAACAACAACGCGTAATAGCTTAACTACAATTTATTTAAAAAACCTACTCTAAAGCTAATATATAGCTTGCTATCTCTAATATTAATTTGCAACGTATTTGTAGCGTTAAGCAAGCTGTAGATATATATAATATACTTTAAAAAACGCTTAATAGATAATGTGCTAGAACGCGCATGCAACGCAACTATAAAGTAAACTTAAAGCGCCTAATAAAACTAAAAAAGAAGGCTATAGTTTAAGAGGTTATTAAGCTATCTGCTTAAGGTCTTGCGCCCTTAAAGTCTTATATATAAGAAATAGTAGATAGACTTTTTAAATTATAAGGCAGCAACTCTATTAGCAAAAACTAGGTTTACAACTTTATTAAGCGGACTCCTAAGCTCTGTACGCGCTAAAGCTAACTATATAACTATTAGCAAGCTGCCTGCAAGGATCCTGCAGCTATCTAGCGCTAGTTTAACTTAGTATAGGCAACAAAATATAAATAAAGAATTCTTAACAGCAATATCTATAACTTTAACAAGACTAGCTTTATTATAGGCAAAATGTTATTACAGATAGTTATTACAGGCTTAGAAAGAGTAGAGAAAACAAAAAAAATCTAGCTAGGCAACTATAAGTAAGTAACTATTATTTAAGGCGTTAGAGCTGCAAGTTACTTACTTCTACTTTTTATTATCTTTGCAGGCTGCGTGCTTATTAACGCCTAGTTTAAAAACCTACTACGCGATTAGGTTCTTAAAGTAAGCTCTAACAGCTAGACAAATAACTAGCTTGCTCTTGCTTAGTTAGAGCACTTTAACAAGCATATAAAATTAAGCGCTATAAGTACGCACTAGCTACTTATAATTAACAGCTATAAAAGCTATAGCTTGCTTAAATTCTAGGATCTTTGCAAGAAGAAGAATATTATTCTTTTTTATATGCTTTTACATTTGTTGCACCTTTTACAACCTCTTAATATTAGCTATTTTACGCTGTTAAAGCGTAGGTATAGTAACTAGATTTTAGCCTTAGCGTGTAACTGCATACACTTTATTAGCAAGGAAACCTTCCTCTAAGCATTTAAGCCTGCTTTTAAATAAGCTATAATAGCAGAGAATATTAAAGCAGGCTTTAGAGGCGCTAGACTAGTTCTACATAACCTAGAAGCTATTATATTAAAGCTTAATGTAAGGTTGCAAACTCTAGCACTATTATTACTAAGGTAGAGCGCATAGAAAGCGCAGACACTACACAACGCCTACAAAATTAAAGCGCAGGCTACGCTTATTTAAAAAAGAATTTAAAATTGTTCTAGGTCCTCTACAAGCTTATTAGATAAAAAAATTTACTAGCTAAGTAAAGGCGCGCAGCAAATTGCACATAATATAGTGTTATTACAAAAAGAACAGGCACGTATACAAAATGCAATTAATAAGCTTATAAAGCGTTAATTAAGAAAATAAAAATATATTTAAATAGAGGAGACCCTAGCTGTAGGAGAAGTACAGGACTTAATTGCTAAAAGAGTAGGTAGAAAGTATAATGCTAGTAAAAAGCCTGCGTGTAAGGTGCGCGGCGCAAGGCGCTATAGGCGTTATAGTAAGAAAAGACATAACTCTTGCACCTATAAGGTAGAAATAGTAGATTCTAAAAATAGTAATAAGTCTTAAGAATAAATTAGCTTACTATAATTTTTAATAAGTGTGTTATACATTATATAGTAGCTGTGCGCAGGTAGTGCGCAGGTTTAGCGTTAGCTACTTGCTTAGGTTAGCTACTTGCTTGTAAACTACGTTACGCTTTAAAAAATTACTTTACTAAAGCTATACTTAAAATTAATATAGCTATTTTTAGCTTTAGCTTTTTTTAAACTAAGTTATATTACTAGCTACTACTTTTAAATTAATAATATTTTAACTAGCTAGTATAATACTAAGTAGTACTTAGCTATTTTTATTAATAAAAATATTTAGTAAGTAAATAATTTAATACTTACTAAATTTTACTTTAGTATAATAAAAAAAGCTAATATTAAAAAATTAAAAAGTAATATTATTATAAAAACTTAGCTATTATAAGCTAATTATTTTTATAGTAATATTTTTAGCACTTTTAGCTTTAAATTTTAAAAAACTAAAAAATTAATAAGCTATACTTTTATAGTTTGTATTTATACTAAAAATTAAATATAAAAAAACTTTTACTTTTTTTTTTAATTTATTTATTTATTTAAGCTTACTTTTTAAGTAGTTCTTAGCACTTAGCAATAAATATAATAATTAAAATATAAAATATAAAATTTTATTTTTTTAATAATAAAAATAAGTAATTTTTTTAATAAGCAAATTTTAACAAGAGCTAGATTTAAACTAATAGCTTTGTTAAAAATTTGAAAAATTATTTTTATAAGTATTTAAGTATTTATCTACTATATTATTTTACTTTTTACTTTTCTACTTTACTAGAAAATTTTATTTTTTATAAGTTTTTTTTAAAATACTTATATTATAGTTTAATAAATATGCTGCTTTAGCTAAACTCTTTACTTAATAATATTTTTAACTTAAATTAGCTTATAAAAAATCTTTACGCTAGAAGTTAAGTAGTAAAATATAGCTTTACTTTATTAAATAAGTAAAAAAATAATAAAAGTAGTAGTATTTTACTAGTGCTAAAGCTTTTACTTATTTTATACTTTTTATATTTTTTTATAATATTAAACTATAGTTATGCTTAACTATACTTACACCTACTATATAGAAAAAAAAAGCTAATTTATAAATAAGTTTTTTTTTTTTTTTTTTTTAGCATTATAGCGTAAAACACTAGCTTTATTATAAGTATTATTTTTATAACTTTATTAGCTTTAGTTATTTTTATAGTATAAGTACTTTAGTAGCTAAATAGCTTTTACTATAAATTAGTATATTTTCTAAGTAGCTTCTTTTTATAAAAAAAAACTACTAATACTTTAGCACGCGTTATAATAGCTTTTAGTAAACTATTTTACTAGTACTTATTCTAAAATTATTATAAATACTATAAAGCACTGTTAAAATTATTTATACTAAGTTATTTTATATATAGTTTACTTATACTTTTTATAAAACTATTATACTAGTAGAAAATATATAACTTTATAATTACGCTTACTATTAACTTTATTAAGTTTATTTTAAAGTTTTTTTTTTTACTAATTTAGCTAAGCCTATCTTTTTAGCTATAGTTTTGCTAAATAGTAAATAAAAATAATAAATTTTTTATTAATTTATTTATACGCGTTACTAATTAAAGAATAAAGTATTTAGCTACTTTAAAAAAGTTAGAGTTACTTCTGCTATTTACTTACGCTTAGTTAAATTTTTTTACTTTAATATTTTAAGCACTAAGTAGAGATTATATTATATTAATACTACTTTTTAGCTATTATAATACTATATTTTAATTAAATAGTTAGATTTTCTTTATTTATACTAGTTTTAAGTTAGTTTTTAAGTATACACTAAATAGCTAAAGCTTACTAAAAGTACTTATACTTAAGTGCTAAAAAGCGCTTACTTTATAGCTAGTACTAATTTGCACTTAAAACTTTATTTTAAAGCTTAATATACTTAACTTTTAAAGCTAATTTTTTTTTAAAGTTATAAATTTATTTTACTAACTTTTTTTATCTATATTATTTTATTAACTAAAACCTATTTACTTTAAAAACTTACTATAGTTATAAGCATACCTTAGTATAAAAATTATTTTTTTAAGTAAATTTTTAAAGCTTATTAAAAGTATTTTAAATGCTATAAAAGTATAGTACTTTTCTAGCTATTAAACTTTAGGTTTAAATAAACTAATTTTAAAGTAATAAACTATTAAAAAAAAACTTTTTTAAAGCTTTTACTAAAGTTTTTACTTTTAGTTATATTACTATAAAAAATTTATATTTAAGTACTAAAATATTAACTAGGTTTTTCTTAAAAAGAGTAGCGCAAGCGCTAATATTAAAATAAAGTTTTTTTATTTTCAAAAGTTAACTAACTTATGTTTAACTACTATTTATATAGAACCTTTTTTTACTTTAGTTTTTAAAATTTTTATTTAACTATTTACTACTACTACTAAGATCTGCACTAAAAGCTATTTAACTTAAAATTATTTTTAAAGCTTTATTATAAACTTTTACACCTACTTACTTACTAAAGTATAATATTTACTTTAGTAATAAAGTATAAGTAATATACTTAAGCGCTATTTATTTTTAAAACTAGTTTATTTAGTAGGTAAGTTATTATATACTTTTTAGTAAATTTTAACTTTTATAGCTATTATTCTATACTAAGAATAGCTTATTAGTAATAATATATTTAAATATTTATATTTAATAAAGTAATAAAAACTTCTTATATATTTAAAGTTTAATAATAAGTAAAAGTTATTTTAACCTCTAAGCTTTTAATTATTTACTTTACTTTATAAAGCTAAAAATGTTACTACTATTTTAAAAAATACTTTAGTAAAAACTAGCTACTTAATAGTTTAATTAGTTTTTTACCTTTATACTTAAATTTAATAATTAATTTATATATTAAAACTACTATAAGCTTTTACTAAAGTTTTTTTAGCTTTACTTTATTTAAGTATATTTTACTATTTTTTAAGTTTTAATAGCTATACGTTTACTTAAATTTATTTAAAAATATTAAAATTAGTTAATAGTGCGCTTTAAAAAGTTTTTACTTTTATTTACTTTTATTATATACTTAAGCTTAACACTTAAATACTTATATAAATATTAAACTTTTTAGTTTATATTTTAAAATAAGCTGCTTATAGCTATTACGCTAGCATTTTAGTAAATATATAAACTTTAGTTTAAGCTAGTTATATTACAATTTCTCTATATATTATTTTTAAAAAAAAAGTATATATTAAAAGCTTTAATTTAATTACTTAAACTAATACTAGCTTACTTATAAAAAAGTGCTTTAAGTAAAAGCTTAAGTAAATAACTATAAGTAAGTTTAGCTATAAGCGCTTTTTTTTTTAATAATTTTATATACTATTTAACTTTTTTTTAAAGTACTTTTTATTTTTTAATTACTTTACTTATGCGTTATTAGTTTTTAGCTAGTATTTAGCTTTAAAAAAATTTACTTTTTATTTAATACTATATTTTTAAATAACTTAATTTACTAAAAAAGCTTTATAGAGCAAAAGCAAGCAACTATATATAAAAGTTTTACTTTTTATAATATTTTATTTTAAAAAACTTAAACTACTACTAATACTAAAGCACCTTTTATAAATTATAAGTTAAACTTTAAAAAAGCTAAATTTTAAATTTAAGCTATTGCTGCTTTGCTTACTATTACTAAAGTAATTTTTATTAGTTTTTTTTTTCTACTTATTAATATGCTTAAGTTTAGTAAGTATTTTTACTTAATTTAAAGTTAAGTTATAAAAAGTAGCTTACTAAATACTAGTTTACTAAAGTTTTAAAAAGTATAAATATACTTTATAAAAAGCTAGTATAACTACTACTAATAACTTTAAAATAAGTTTATGCTATAAAAAGTAAAATAAATGCTTAATACTAAGCTAAGCTTAAAAGTTTAAATAATATTTAAATAAGTGTACTTTATAAAATACTAAAAAGTATAATATATATTTAAAAATTTTATAATTTATACTACTTATTACATTTTACTATATTTTTTATTAATACTAAAATTAAAAAATTTATTATTAAAAGTTATAATAATTTTAAGTTAGTATTAGAAGTTTTTATATATAAATATAAAAGTTTTAAGTAGTTTTTAGTAGTAGGCAAGCCTGCTAAAAAAGTAATTAAAGTATATATAGGTAAAAAGTAGGTAAATAAAAGCGCGTAACTTTAGAGGGCTAGCGCTAGTATTTTATAATAATTTTTCTATAGGTTTACTTATAGAAACTTCATTATAACTTTTACTTTTTTTAAATAACTAAGTTTAATAAACTTTTTAGCTTAAAGTAGTTATTACTAACTTTTTTAAGCTAGTTTAAAGGCTTTACTAAGCTATTTAATTAGTAGTAGTAATAAGTAGTATATATAAAAGTAGAGATGCAATTAACGCGTGCTAATAACACGCGCTTACTAAGTATTCTTTATTAAAAAGTAATAATTATAATGCTTTATCTCTAGCATAATAGAGTTTAACAAAATTACTTAAGCTTTTTAGCTAAAAAAAAAAGCTTATTAGCTTTATTAGTGTAGCGCGCGTGCAGCCTAAAATATTTAAAAGTATTATAAACTTATTATTACTTTAAACTTCTATTAGCTTAAGCTAATAGTCTTTTTAAGAAGCTAGCAACTAGCTAAAGCTAGCCTAGCTATTTAGTAAGTTAAAGTCTTATTTATTATTATAATTAAGTAAATAAATTACTTTACTAACTAAAAATAGCTATGCACTACTACTTAAAAAATTAAAAAAAAGCTTTTAATTTATTAATTTTTATTTTATTTAAACTTAGTAAGTTTTTTTATATTAAGTTAAATTAAGCTGCAGGCTCTACGCCTAGTAGTACTTTTTTATTAATTTTTTTATGTTTTAGCTTTACAACTATACTTTTCTTAAAACTTAAACACTTTAATTTTTTATAAAGTGCTAAGCAAGTTAAAATAGTAATATTACTTAATTTCTAGTTAGTATAGTTTATAGTTAAAACTATAATAGTATCTAATTATTTTTAATTCTTTAACTTTTATTTACTAATTAATAAAAATATTTTTAGCAAATGCTTTTGCAGTAGTTAGTCTTTAATAAATTTAAAAATTTTACTTTTAATAATTAAATACTAGTGCTTTTAACTATCTCTATTAATTATTATAGCAGTTTTAAAAACTAATAAAATAAAACTATACGTCCTATTTTATTATTTTATACTAACGTATTTAAGCAAATGTCTACTTTAAACACTTTAATTTATTTAAAGTAAAAGTTCTAGTTTTTAATACACCTAGTAAAGAGTATATAGTTTTTTAAAAAGAAAAGCTTAGCTAAGCAAATATATGTAGTAAGGCAGACTTACTAGCTAAGCTAAAGTTTTAACTATAAGCTTTTTAACTGCAATAACTTTAATATATACTATTAAAGCTAAAATTACTATAGCTGCTAGCACTAGACTTGCTTTTTAATTATTCTTTATTAAAAAGTTTATATTATACTTATTCTAATTACAAGACCCTAAAGAGCTTTATATTAGTATTTATTATTACTACCTCTTTATATTAAAATTAAGTAATTTGCGCACCTGCTGCCTACCTTTAATATAGTAGCTATTTTTTAAGCTTTTTTTTTTAAAATTAAACTCTAATTCTTTATTACTTGTTAAAACTATAGTAAGCTAATACTTTACTATTAAAAGTTAATAAAGTAGAAATTTAAATAAACTGTTGCTAGCGCAAAGCTATGCAATTTAAAAAGTTATTATAAATTACTAAAAAGCTTTAAAAGGCATTAGTTTTTTATTTAATAAATATACTCTTTTTAAAGTTAAAGTTTTTAGCATATATTAGCTTTTAAATTATTATAGTTATTTAAGTAGTAAGGTACTATTAAATAAATAATAACTAATTTAATAAGCTATTTGTAGTTTTATAGTATAATTGCTTATACTTAAATATATATAGCTTAATTTTTAAGACAAGCATATAACTACTAGCAGAATTAACTAAGTAACTTTTTAAAATACTTAAAGTAAACTAAAGAGTACTTTTTTACAAAAGTAAAATACAGCATTACTATATAAGTAGAAAAAAATACTATAATGTTTTTCTTAGCTGCTAAAAAGCAGAGCTAGCTAGGCTAGTATACTTAGCTAGCAACTAATTATGCTTTAAAAAAGAGTAGCTATTAAATGTAACTAACTTTTAAGAAATCTACTTAAAAGTAATAGTAAAGCTAATTACTTATAGACCTATATATTAGTGCTTACTACTATAAAACTATAAAACTTTAGTTTCTTTTAAAAGCTTAAGTAAGTAAGTAAATAAAAATAAAACTACCTATAGCAGCGTGCTAAATAGAGTTAATATAACTAACTACTACTTAAAATATAAGCTATGCTAATATAAAACTAAAAGCTAAAAAGCTATTTTTTATGCGCTGCGCTTTTAAAAAAACTTATATAATAACGCGTAAAAAAGGCACTACTTAAGCTAATAATAAGCTATAAGCTACTATACAACATAAACAGCTGCAGCTATAGCTAGTAAGTAAATAAGCTACTACTTTTAAAAAAAAATACTATAAATATAAATTAATTTTTTCTCTTTTTTATATATTTTAAAGCTTTATTTAGGTATAATGCGCTTGTTGCGCAGTAAAAGTATTAAAAATACTTTTTTTACTTACTAATTTACTAGTAAAACTAAATAGATATGCATAAGCTTATATAAATATAAAATGCTAAAGTGTTCTTCTATAAAAACTTAAGTAAATTTTTATTACTCTATTAAGTGCGCGCTATAGTTATTTAGCTCTATAGTATAAGTAAGAAAAAAAAAGTTTAATAAGCTAAATATTAAAGTTATGCTTATAGTTTAGCGCACTAGCACAGCTTATAATAAGCTTTTTCTTAGCGTATTAGCTTATTCTTAGGCGTATATAAGTTGTAATAATAAAAATAATAATATAAATAAAAAATAATAATTTAAGATAAAAATTAAAATCTAAGTTTAGGTAAAGGAGAAAATAATAAAAATAGTAAAGCTAAGAGTGTAAGCGAACTTAAAACATTAGTAGTACTATAGTATCAACGTTCATAATAAGCTATACTACTACTATATTTTTATTTATAATAATAAAACCTCCTAGTTTTTTTGAGAAAAAAAAACAATATTAGTAAGTAACGAAACTTTGAATTGAATGTAAATAGTAAAAATATAAAAGTAAATACTGCTAAGGGTGATAAGGTGCTAAATAGTATAGTATAAAGTTACTATAAAATAAAAATAACTTATATAAAGAGGTAAAGAAAATATTATTAAACTTTCATACCCTTCTTCTCCTCCCCCCCTCTTTTCTAAACTAAAAAGGCTAGTTTTAAAAGGTGCAAATCTAAACTTATTCACAGTACGTATTTATAGTAAATTTGAAGCTGATTTTTATAGCGCTAATAGTGTTTTAGTACAGTAAGTAGTAAGTAGAATACACTTTAAAAACGTTGTAGAGCTTCTGTAGCCCCTAAGCTAAATTAGGCTAAATTTAAAAGTTAGCTATTAGAAACAGGTAAGAGTAGGAAATTTATAGCCCTAACTTCGCTGATTGCAACGGCATCATTAGCCTTTAGATAGGATGAAAATAGGGTAAGATATGGACCAAAACCCTTCTAGAGCTTGGCTAGCCCCTAGGCCAGATTGGGCCAAATTTGAAAGTTGGCTATTAGAACGAGGTTAGAGCGAGAATTTAAAGCCCTAACTGCGCTGATTTCAACGGCACCATCCGTTTTGGCATAGGGGGAATATTGGATAAGATACCGGCTAAAGCAGCTAGGAAGAATGGTAAATCTAGAGAAACATAAGCAGAGTAGGAAAAAGTAGGGACATACTGCTTAGGTAAGCGCCGGGCTGGGTTCTATATTCCCTACTTATAGCCTAAGAGTTTTGCCGCTAAGCTATAGCTTTAATACTTGGCTAGCAATTTGGCAAAACGTTTTTTTGGGCAGAAAGACCCCCCCGTTGACAGCCTAGACCCCCCCCTTTGGACCCCCCATTTGGGCGCTCCATGGGGGCTCTTCGGGGGGCTGCCCGCCTAACCCCCCTAAGTGGCCCCCCCAACCTGCGGGCGCTGATTTCCCAAGGTGACACAAAAACAAAGTGGCTATTATAACAAAGTTGGAGCGCTTATTTGTTGCGTTTTTCGCGCTGATTTCAGTTCTGCTGTCTGTTTTTGGCTATACCTAATAGTTGGCAAGTTATGAGCCAAAAACGTCCTAGAGCTTCTGTAGGCCTTAGGCCAGAATAGGCTAAATTTAAAAGTTGGCTATTAAAACAAAGTTAAAATAGGTTCTTGTAGCCCTAGCAGCGCCGATTCCAACGCCTCCATTAGTTGTAGGTTAGGGTAAATATTGGGTGAGAGATGGACCAAAACCCTTCTAGAGCTTGGCTAGCCCCTAGGCCAGATTGGGCCAAATTTGAAAGTTGGCTATTAGAACAAAGTTAGAACGGGAATTGGTAGCCCTAAGGGCGCCGATTCCAACGGCGGCATTAGTTTTTAGATAGGGTGGATATTAGGAAAGATATAGGCCAAAGCAGCTAAGAGGAGCAGAAA